AAGCAGCTTATGGTGTCTCCAGCTACAAGCGGTTGATTAATCATGGTGGTTTAGCATTTCAATATCTCCTGCTGAGAAAGCAGAAAAGTTGTGAGGAAAAGATGAGACGACAGTGTTTCCATGCTGGATTGCTTAGCACGCTTCATTGCAGCTCTGCAGAGGCATGTAAGATTTCAGACTGGTTTGGAAAAGTCAAGTTCCAGACTTCAGTTCCCTCCTCTGAACCAGGTGAGCAACAAGCAGCTTCTTTGCCCTTCCATGAAAGCAGCCATGAAAAAGAGTCATCTCCATCATTATATGATCTGTTCCTGTGAGGCAGCAAGGCATTGACAAGATTGGAACTCGATGAGCTTAAAGTTTTCATTTAAAAGAATATTTACATGAACAAGAACAGTAAGAGTTTACAAGTAGATTTGCTTTTCCTGGTGGAAAGGAAGGGTATTTTCTGATGTCCTGATACTTTTTATGCATCTCTGTTGGCCGTGCATAAGAATCAATACATAATACAGCATCAGTTTCACAGTGTATACAGTCATATGGCTTAGTAGATGTATTACTCCAGTCTTCAATGTCACATGATCCTTCAGAAATCCTTCAGAAAATCTTAAATCATAAATTCAGAAATCATAAAAATCTTAATTATTCCAATGGAAGTGTATATAATAATAATAATAATAATAATAACACAACAATTTTATGCAATTATTATACAATAATGACATTTGAACTTTCTAGAATGTGAGTGGGAGACTCTCACAATTCAATCAAATCTAATTAAAAGTTTATTAAAATCAAATTAAGCAAAACATAGTTTCCGTTCTTGAACTTTACTGGCTGATATTTAGTCCAAGATCACTCCACTTGTCTGTGCATATTCCAGAAAAGGTAATATGTTAAAGTTTTGTCCTGAAGTCGTGGCCTAATGGTAAAAGAGTCGGACTCGTAACCCAAAGGTTGCGGATTTGATTTTCGTACCGGCAGGGATTGTAGGTGGGGGGAGTGAATGTACAGCGCTCTCTCCCACCTTCAATACCACGACTGAGGTGCCCTTGAGCAAGGCACCGAACCCCCAACTGCTCCCCGGGCGCCGCAGCAAAAATGGCTGCCCACTGCTCCGTGTGTGTGTGCACTTTGGATGGGTTAAATGCAGAGCACTAATTCCAAGAATGGGTCACCATACTTGGCCACATGTCACGCCACTTTCACTTATGCCAGTAGCTGGCAACAAGTGAGTCAATAAATCATCCACTCAATCAATTTGTTCAAACACACTGATTCATTCGGGAGCGAAATGCCACTTTCTGGTTCTCAGTGACAGCTATATAGAGTATTTTCAATGCACACTACTACAAAATAAAGTTTGAGTACGGCTTGAACATTAAGCAGCTTGAGAAGAAGAAAATGCTGAAGTTTTGAGGAATAGTCTATCAATACAGTGCTGTGCTGAAATATGTGATTGGTCAAGATTCCTTGCAATATTTAAATGCTGCTTGCAATAATTATTATATAAAAAAATGAAATGCAAAAGTCTTAAGACTTAAGAGTCAGTACGTTCTAAGACAGAGTGATTTTTTTTAACTCATTTTGAAATACAGGCCATCAGGCATGACTCTCTTTTTGTTAGACTCATATACATTAACATAGCGTGTCCAATTTCTCAAAATATTAAAACAACGGAAGATTTTTTTTCCATAATGGAATTTTACACTCACACTGAATTTTCAGCTTAGGCTAAACAAACAGCAGAAGCCTCACAGCAGCCATAAGATACTTCACTGAAAGATACACCACCAGGGAACCAAACAGGATTTTCCACATGGGACCTAAAAGAGATTATTTTAGCATCTAGCTTATTCAGCACTCTCCAAATCACTTTTAACCCATAACTGTGTGGAGGCGATCAATATGAAATAGGCCCATATACACACACACATATGGCCAGTATGTACAGAAATATGTGACCCTGGACCACAAAACCAGTCTTAAGTCGCTGGGGTATATTTGTAGCAATAGCCAAAAATACATTGTATGGGTCAAAATGATTGTTTTTTCTTTTATGCCAAAAATCATTAGGACATTAAGTAAAGATCATGTTCCATAAAGATATTTTGTAAATTTCCTTCTGTAAATATATCAAAACTTAATTTTTGATTAGTAATATGCATTGCTAAGAACTTAATTTGGACAACTTTAAAGGCGATTTTCTCTATATTTAGATTTTTTTTTTTGCACCCTCAGATTCCAGATTTTCAAATAGTTGTATCTCAACTAAATATTGTTCTATCCTAACAAACCATACATCAATGGAAAGCTTATTTATTCAGCTTATTCAGATGATGTATAAATCTCAATTTCAAAATATTGACCCTTATGACTGGTTTTGTGGTCCAGGGTCACATATGTGAATAACTCATCTTCAATTCCTCATGTTCAAGGACTCATGAAAGATCATTGGGTCAGATCTTTGTTAATTCTGCAAGACTAAACATGCTGTTTACTAAAGAGAGGCCATGGAAGAACATGCAGAAGACAACTTAAGAAAAAAGACGATGAAGCTGGAATCATTTGCATTTATTCTGCTGAATAAGAGTCAACTTCACACGCTTGCAGGATTTCAGTAAAGCAGTGTCTTGAGGCTGTCAACAATAAAGCTGAACAAGACAGCTAAATGACCCAAAAGGTTGGAGGGAAGCGCTTAAACAAAACCCAGCTAAGTTTGTGCAGTAATGTGAGGAGCTGAATGCCGCAGGATGGCAGTTCAGGAATGGCTAGAGCTGACAGTGTATATAAAGTTAGCCAGCTTTTTGGACTGAGCAAATCAAAGAGGAACAAAAGTAAAGCTCAGAAGTATAAAAAAGGGGGGGACCTTAGGGATGAAGTAAGCAGAGGAAAGTTGCAAAAACTCAGAACTTAAAGCTGAGCAATGATCCTTTGAAAAAGAGTGGAGGACGAAGATCAAGAAAGAAAGAAATCACAAAGTCAGAGACACACGGCATAAATCCAAAAAGGAAGTTATTGGATAAAAAGAAGTGGTAGGTTGACAAACTATAAAAAGCACGTTAGACCTTGAGAAAATATATTGGGATTTTTAAGGTGAGCAAGTCTGAAGGTCCATAGCTGCATGATAAAGAACTTGGGAGTTTAAATAGAAAGAGGCTTGACATAAATACAGCTTTGATAAAATACTGCAAGTTTAGTCCCTCACACCTGTTCTGAGAGAACCTGCTGCTTCAGTCGTTGCTTTGGTGTCTTGCTCCATCTTGTGGTTCAAAGGGTGCAGCCTATTTGAATCTTCTGGTGACTGTGCATTGAATCACATAGCCTACGGAAATGCAAATAGTTGAGTTTATTTAAAAAAAAATTGAACATTTAATTTTATTCCTCACTAAAATGTCCATAGGCTACTTGTGAAACAAAAATGTTCATGTTTTTAAATAGGCTAAAACTAATTTGTCACAGAAGATATGTAACGATTGGATTATAATAAATAAAATATCTGATTTATTACTAATTCTTTTTAATTCTCTGTTATTATCTGTGGTTGTGTCATGCCTGGCAGATGCCTGTCTGAATCATTTTAACCAATCGGTTCGTTTCAGTGAAACATGATTCACTAGGGCTAATTCCTTTGAGTCATCATGCTCATCAATTCTAACAATTATGTTGAAAAACTACTATTTATCGTAGACTAATTACTAATGTGTTCCAGTTGTCATCCTTATTTGTGTCAGATAGGCTAGCTACCTTACAAGAAAAAGTATATTTTTATGTAATGTCATATTTAAGTGTTTAAATCAAGGCAACAGAACCAAAATCAGCACATATTACTAAAATGCGCTTAGTTTGGCTGTGTTGTCTTGATTTAAACACATTATGATCAAATAAACTGATAACTGAATCTGGGTGCAGTTACTGAATTTTGGAGATTACAAAATATGGGGATGTCATGGTTAACATATTAAGTCAATAACTGTATGTAAGCACAATCACCCGCATTCACATTCTCAAAAATTTTTATTCCGCTTTTAAATACTTTCTAAAGTCGCAGATGACCACTTTCAGTCACAGCCTAATGGATTATAAAACTGTTAAAACACAAAGTAAATATTTTTGGTAACATAATAATTGCATACAGATTAAACATGTAAACACTGTGATTCAAACAAACAAAATGTGCTCATTAACACCTATAACAGCTTTCAGAGAGAGATAACAATTCCTTATATAATATTGGAATAATATTGTGGACAGTGTTCCACGGGAGAAAGTATGGACTTCGCCTCATAAGCATCTGCTCACAAATAAAGTAAAAGAAATAACATTTGTTGATTCATAAACGTTACCTTACTAAAGCTTTTCTTAGAAAATATAAGTCAGACATTGAAGTGAACTGCAGTTTTCATTCTTCTGAAAAAGACTTCATTCATTTGTTTTGGCAATGTCCCCGCACAGAAACATCTTGGTCAGATTTTTTAAATGTTTATCCAATCTTATTTTGTAAGTGATTCTTTTTGTTTTAAAGATGCTTTCTTTGGATTGTTTGACTACGCAGAAGAGAACACAGGGAACTTTTACATAATGCATTTGTGTTTCCTGCTAGCTAAATTTCACATTCACAAGCAAAGGTTTACTTGCTCTAAACCTCTCTTTTCATTGTTCAAAGTTGATTTAGACAAGTATATGGCAACTAAGTTCTGTCAATCTTAAAGCTGAAAACTGTATTTCTGTATTCCTCCTTTGTGTCTTTGTAAGGTGTTCATTTATTTATTTATTTTATGATTGTTTGGTATGTCTGTTACCCTGGTAATACGTATGTATCTGTGTTTACTTTTGAATGTATGTCTACAACTGTTAAAAAAAAAAAAAAAAAAAAAAAAAAAAAAAAAAAAAAAAAAAAAAAAAAAAAAAAAAAAAAAAAAAAAAAAACACGTCCAGGTATAACAGCACAGTGATTCAGAAACGCTTCGCGAATCAGTTCGACTGAATCAATAGAGCCGACTCTCACATGATTCGCGAATCAGACACTTCCTGAAGCTGACGCTTCCTGTAGCACCGCCTTAAACAAAACAAGCAACTTTCCATAGAACCCAGAAAGAAGGCCGTTATGAAGACAGTCTGCCACAGCGGACATATACAATACTTCTTTATTAATCACCCGTCTATAATCGAGAGAGAGTGTGTTTTCATAAACGCTCCGAGGCTGTGAGCTGGGGATTACAGCTATGATGGCGTCCAGCTACAGCGCGAAAGAGGAAGACGGTCATCACTCCGGATCCGCGGGGCTCGGCGGAGCCGCCGTCCAGACTCGAAAGCCCGACAACACGGCCTTCAAACAGCAGCGGCTACCGGCCTGGCAGCCCATCCTGACCGCGGGGACCGTGCTGCCCGCCTTCTTCATCATCGGCCTCATCTTCATCCCAATAGGAATCGGCCTCTACGTGACATCCAACAACATCAAGGAGTTCGAGGTTTGAGCCTGTTGCGCTGTGTTTACCTTCGTGTCATTTAACTAACACATCTGTCTGCTGTTCGCTCGGACTTTCCGGCGCATGTGTTATGTATCCGCGTGTTTCTCTGGTTCACAGATTGATTATACCGGGACTGAGATGTCCAGCCCGTGTTTTAACTGCTCTCAAAGCTTCAGCTGGAACAGCACGACTCCATGCAGATGTGTCCTGTTCTTCTCTCTAGACCAGCCTTTCGAAGTGAGTGTGTGTGCCCTGACCATTATGTTGCATTCCTGTTGGAGGATAGTTGAGCCAAAAGTAAATATTCTGTCCTTTACTCACACCCGTGATGCTCCAAACCCACGAGACTTAACCCTGTAAAGCTTGACACGTGACAAAATAGACCAAAACATCTTTTTGTTTAATGGAACAATTTATTGAACCTTTAGAGTCGTTTTTTTTAACATTTGAGTCATATCTTATACTTGAGGCATATATGTGACCCTGGACCACAAAACCAGTCCCCAAACCCAATTTTTTGACATTTGAAGATTTTAAAGCATTAATTAAGCATAAATAAGCATTCCATTGATGTATGGTTTGTTAGGATAGGACAATATTTGACTGAGATACATATATTTGAAAACAAAAAATCAAAATATTGAGAAAATCGCCTTATTTACAATAGGGCAATATTTAGTTGAGATACAACTATTTGAAAATCTGGAATCCGAGAGTGCATAAAAAATCAAAATATTGAGAAAATCGCCTTTAAAGTTGTCCGAATGAAGTTCTTAGCAATGCATATTACGAATCAAAAATTAAGTTTTGATATATTTACGGTAGGAAATTTACAAAATATAGTCATGGAACATGATCTTTACTTAATATCCTAATGATTTTTGGCATAAAAGAAAAATCTATTATTTTGACCCATACAATGTATTTTTGGCTATTGCTACAAATATACCCCAGCGACTTAAGACTGGTTTTGTGCTCCAGGGTCACATATAATATATCAGTGAGAATGAAAATGGAGCTTTATGGATATTCATTGCTCTCTGGTGTTGTTCATTATTAAAAAATTTGATGGAGCCATAGTACTTTTTGTTTGTAGTTTAATCTGATTACTTTTATCTGTACTGTGAGGAAACTGTAGACCTGACAGAAACCTTCACTTTCCTGAATGGTAACATTTAAAACACAGCACATATTATAAAATATAAATGTTCCCAGTTTATTTTTAGAAAGAATATTTGATTGGAGATGGTGATGGGTTTTCGTAACGGTGCCAGTTCTTGATTCTAACTTTATGTCCTCAGAGTAATGTTTTCATGTACTATGGCCTCTCAAATTTCTACCAAAACCATCGGCGGTATGTGAAGTCCAGAGATGACAGCCAGCTTAATGGAGACCTGCGCTCACTTAAGGTACTATCTATCTATCTATCTATCTATCTATCTATCTATCTATCTATCTATCTATCTATCTATAGTTGTTCATCCATTAATTTATTGTTTCTTTCAGTAGTTCAATCTATTTATCCATCCATCCAACTATTGTTCGTTCACTTTCTCTCTGCCTTTCTGTCTATTGTTTGTTGTATCATTCTATGTGTTGCTCCCTTGTTCTACCATTCGATCTATCGTTCTAGCCTATACATCGTTCATTTATTTGTTGGTTCTGTCTGTCTGTCTGTCTATCTATATGTCTGTCAATCTATTTTTAGTGCTATCATTCTATTCATCGTTCATTAATTTGTTCTATCTATCTGTCTATCTATCTGTCTGTCGTTCTATATCATTCTATCTATCGTTCTGTTGTTCTATCTTTCATTCTGTCTATCGTCATTCTGTCTATCTGTCGTTTGTTCTATCAATTGCTCTATTACTTTTTAAATTAAATTAAATTAAATTAAATGTATTATTAAGTTACAATAGGTCTGCTGCTTCCTGAGTACAAGTACTTAATTCTTGATTTGATGCTATAAAATTGCACGTTATTCATTGAAGCTCAAAGCATATTGCTATATTTCAGGAGCCAAGCAAAGAATGTGAGCCGTACCGCACTAATGAAAACAAGCCTATAGCCCCGTGTGGAGCCATTGCTAACAGCATGTTTAATGGTAAGACCTGGATCCGAATACTTCCCATTGTAAGACCATTTCCTCAAGAGGTTTAATATTGCTTGTCTCTTTCTCTCTTTGCTTCAGACACACTGGATTTGTTTTACATTGATCCCAATGGAACAAAAACACAAATTCTATTGATCAAAAAAGGGATCGCATGGTGGACGGACAAACATGTGAAGTTCAGGAACCCTGGTGGAAGCAACCCAAATCTTACTGCTGCTTTTATAGGTAGAATAAATACACTTGTATATAATTCTGTATAGAGGAGTATATGTACTCTGATGAATTAGCATAGGTTTTCCCGTATCTCTAACTAAAACACTCCTCATCTTCCAGAGACAGCGAAGCCGGTCAACTGGCACAAGCCTGTTTATGAGCTGGACATTGACTCAGAAAACAACGGCTTCATAAATGAGGATTTCATCGTGTGGATGCGCACAGCTGCTCTCCCCACCTTCAGAAAGCTCTACCGCGTTATTCAGAAGAAGAACAACATGACACCCACGCTTCCCAAAGGCAGCTACAGCCTGGAAGTCACCTACAGTATCCTTGCATTGCATACCTCTAAAACATAACAAAATATTTCCGATTCTACGCAAGATGCGTAGTAACATTCTGACATTATACACAGATAACTATTCATTCTAAAAAGTATTAAATAATGAAAAATATTACATTTGAAAAAAAATGTAAAGAAGGATTTTTACTAGTGATCTTTGATTTTGATAAGTATATTCTACTGTTCAAAAGTCCAGGGTCAGAACGATTTTTCTCTAAAAAAAAATTAATATTAACATTAAATTGATCAAAAGTGACAGTGAAGACAATTTTAATGTTACAAAAGATTTCTCTTTTAATAAATGTTGTTCTTTTAAACTTTCTAAAAATGCCAGTTTCTACAAAAATATGAAGCCACACAACTGTTTTAACATTAATAAAAAGTTAATAAAATGTTTTTTGAGTACCAGATCAGCTGTTGTAATGGCTGCTGAAAATCCAGCTTTCCCTTTACAAAAAACAAAGTGCATTTAAAAAAATATTAAAATAGAAAAGTTATTTTACATTGTAGTATTACTGTAATTTTGATCAAATAAATACACTTTGATGAGAATAAGAAACTTCTTACTTTAAAACAAATCTTACTGACCACATAATGTTTCAAAGGTGATGTATATTTGCTCTGAACTAGCTAAACATTTTTATTTTTCCATCTGTGGAATCATAACTGCTATTGTTGTCTAGTAGTCGAACAACAATAAAGTCAAAATCTAGTTATAATGGTCAAGATGGACTTTTTTTTAATTAAATCAACTACTAAATGAAGGAAGACTGATATTAGTTTGCTTTTGTATGTACCAATGTAACAATAGAAAGTAGTAAATATCTATATTTATCTTTATGAAACCATTCTAAACTTCACAGGAACGTCATGAACAATAATCAGTGATAACCCAAACTGTTGTTTTATGTGTTTGATCTATTTATTACAACAGTAAAAGAAAGAGCGAAAACTGATTAATAGAAATAACTTTTTTTGAATCAATTAACAGTTATTTTCTTAAGTAAAAATTACAGTTTTATTGTGCAGTTCTAAAACTCAATTTACAGAGAATGCATTCAATATATAGAATAGGTCTCATCATTAAATTTAAAGGGATGGTTCACACAAAAATAAAAATTCTGTCATTAATTACTCCCTCATGTCGTTCCAAACCAGTAAGACCTTCGTTCATCTTCAGAACACAAATTAAGATATTTTTGGGGAAAAATATCTTCAAGGTCCAGGTAAAGCTACGAGAATACTTTTTGTAGTATAAAGAAAATAAAACTAACGATTTTATTCAACAATTTCTTCTCTTGCAGACAAAAAGTATTCTCACAGCTTCATAAAATTACAGTTGAACCACGTGGACTATTTTAGCGACGCTTCTGTGCCTTGACCACAGTAATTAATGACAGAATTGTAATTTTTTGGGTGAACTATCCCTTTAAGCAAAGTGCAAACACTGGTTGATTGGATATTTCCTAAACCTCTTGCCCCTCAGACTACCCCGTGCGCAGCTTCGAGGGCCGGAAGCGAATGATCCTCAGCACCATCTCCTGGATGGGAGGGAAAAACCCCTTCCTGGGCATCGCCTACATAACAGTGGGCTCCATCTGCTTCTTCCTCGGCGTGGTGCTTCTCTTCATTCATCACAAATACGGAAACCGCAACAACAGCTCTGATGTTCCCAGTTAAGCTTGTTCGAGGGCATGTGATCTGGGTTTGAGTAGCATGCTTCGATTGGCGTTTTAAAGGTGCAAGAGCATTTGTCCACTTGATGTTCTGTTTATTTATTACTCAAGATGTTGTGTCCACTTCAAAGTTGTATTTTTTAATTTGTATTTTTTTCTGATGATGGTTGATGGTTCACTTCAAGCATGTTTTGGCCGTCGATATGCACGTATGTCTGAGGTTAGTGTGATATTATAACATACGACCATGATAAAGACCAAGTTGTATAAAGTACAGTAAATGAATGTATATTGTATTTCATTGAAATGGTTTTACTTTCGGCCAAAAGTAATGTTTAAACAGGGCAACATAATATGACTACTTTTAACAGTTTAATGTACAAAGAATAATTTCAATCTTTTCCTTGAGGTTCATAAAGGCATATACTGTGGCTCTGTTTACTTCCAAATGTCTTCGTAGTGCCAGATTATGGTGGGGATCGGATCAATAACAACTACCATTAAACTTTTAAGGATTGTTCAAATCTTGTTTTGTTTCCTGCAGATGCTTGTGCTCTTTAAAGAAGCTTTGCTGTGTGTAATTCATGGCTTGCAAGGACCAAACGTTTCGTTCTTTGTCTATTTAATTGAAACTGTCTTGGGCTCATTTTGGCTGTCATGTCTTTTTTTAAGTGTTTCAGCATGTCTGCCTCTAACAAATAAGCACTTTAGAATGTGACAAGCCATACCCTTTTTGGCCAGTTTTCAGGATTGTGTGTTTTGTTGTTGGGTGAATAAAATGTTTAATTGCTGAACTTACTGAGAATTTCTCATGATTGTGTGTTGAAGTATCCTTTGCACTCTTCAGTAGCAGGAGGTGATACCAAAAACAACACTGAAGACAAAATTAGCATGTTAAATCAGTTAAAAAGTGTTATTTTCCTGTATTGAATTGGTGTATTTCCTATTTAAACAGGACGTTTACATGGAACATATCAAAAGGCTCATAATTATTATTTTTTTTTTAAAATATGCAGTCGGCTTTAGTGCCACAATCTGAAACCATTAGTTTGCTACATTGAAACAATTTTGGAAGTATAGTTTACCCCAAAATTGCTCACAATCATGTTTTTTATTTTTATTTTGTTGTTCAGTGAAAAATGTTTGCATATGAAACAACTTTGATATTTTCATTAAATTAAATAGCATGCAGGTTTGGCATGATTCTCTGCAGTGAATGGGTGCCGTCAGAATGAGAGATTAAACAGCTGATAAAAACTTCACAATAATCCATAAATAATCCACACCACTCCAGTCCATCAATTAACATCTTGTGAAGTAAAAAAAAAAAATAAATTATGTTTGCAAGAAAGAAATCCATCATTAGCATGTTTCTGGAACTCCATAATCCATAATACTGCTTTCTCCAATGAAAATGTCGACTGAATCAGGAGAGAAATATGCAAAGATGAAGAAGCATTTTCCAAACAGTCCAAAACCGTTCTCAACAAATATATCTGTGGATTCTGATGTGATAGGAAATTTCACTGGAGCGTTATTATGGATTATGGTATTTAATTTTAACGGTTTAAAGTTAAAATGTTTTAATGATGGATTTGTTTCTCACAAGCACGCAGCTTTTCACTTCACAATATATTAATTGGACTGGTTGCTGGTGAGGATTACTTGTGGATTATTGTGATGCTTTTATCAGCAGTTTGGACTAATTCTGACGGCACCCATTCACTGCAGAGGATCTATTGGTGAGCAAGTGATGTAATGCAAAATTTCTCCAAATCTGTTCAGATGAAGAAACAAACTCATCTACATTTTGGCTGGCCTGAGAGTGAGTACATTTTCAGCAATTTGTCATTTTTGGGTGAAATATTCCTTAACAGTTTTTAGTGATGATGTTTTAGAAGATGCTTCCTGATCTGTTTTGTTCTCTCTAATGAAATGTTTTTCATGGTACCCCAGTAATACATGATAATACTATTGTTTTTTTAACCAAAGCTATGATAATTATTAAAAAGTCAATGTCATAAGAAAGCATGTGATGAATAAATGAAAATAGTTTTATGTCATTTGATCAAGAAAGAGGAATATTTCCTCTTCTTTTGTGACCAGTGAGACTCAGAAGGTGAATGCATGTATAGCAGAAGGTATACAACACTATCTGCTTATGATAAACGGCACTAAAATAGTTTTTTTTTTAATGTTAGAAGTCTTCCAACTAAATCATAAAATCCAAACTGGATCAGTAAAAAGGACCAGCAATCAAGACATCTGTAAAGCTGTGAATCTGATAGCCTCTGGCTTCTTCATTACACCATAAGCAGCATCTGTTCTCTCCTGCTGTTGGTATGTTGGACTGCATGAAAGAGCAGCTGTTGAATGGCCCAGAGGAAAAGTGCTGGACTAATTACCTGCTTCCCAACCCAAGTGCCTGTTTCACTCGCTCTCACATCGTCAGCCCACCTCTGGACCACGGCTGACCTCACACAACATCAGCAGCGATTGAGATGTGCTGGTGTGAGATAATGATGTGCATTGCAGCTCATGTGACTCCAACGCTGTGTTTCTGTGTCTCTGTTCTCCTGTCAATTAGTGACAGACTTTCTTAGCAAGTTCAGTTAATGATCTTGGGTGTCAGAGAGAGTGAGACTTCCCAGAAGATTTAAAAGCAGTCTAGAATTTTAAAACATTACATCTCTTTAGAAAATGACTCAGCAAGTGTACATATGTCCAGTGTTGGGGGTAACGCATTACAAGTAACGCGAGTTATGTAATCAGATTACTTTTTTCAAGTAACTAGTAAAGTAACGCATTACTTTTTAATTTACAAGAGAATATCTGAGTTACTTTTTCAAATAAGTAACGCAAGTTACTTTTTTCCCCCCAATTTATTGATTGACAGCTCTCCTGTCCTCATGTTGAGAGAAATCAGAAGATGTTACTGTAGTTATGAAATAAATATGAATATGCATTAATTCATCTCACTAACAACAAAAAAAACAAAACAGATTCAGTACTCCTCAAAATGAATAAAAATAATGCAACTCAGAATATGACGCAAACCTGCAATAATTAAATGTTAAACAACACAAATATGCTTTATGTATTTAATCCCATTTTATTAACCAATGTCTTTGCTTCTGACCTTCGATGATCCAGTTCAACAATACTAATAAGCAAAAATGACCCTAGACAAACATTTGTGAGTCTTTTTTTATTGCTGTGTGTTGAAATTTCTTCTTCTGCATTCTACTGTACGGACGTACATTTACTTTCCCTTCAGTCTGAGGCTTATTCATTTCACTTTTGGTGTGAAAAGGCTTTTATATTTGCCAAAAATAGAACTTTTTTATTTTAAAATCAAACAAGCAAGCCCTGTCCAGATTTAAAAAGTAATGCAAAAGTAACGTAACGCATTACGTTCCATAAAAAGTAACTAAGTAACGTAATTAGTTACTTTGTCATGGAGTAACGCAATATTGTATTGTAGTTAATATTGTAACTTTTAAAAGTAACTTTCCCCAACACTGAAAATAACGCAATATTGTAATGCATTCCTTTTAAAAGTAACTTTCCCCAACACTGCATATGTCTCAGTGTGACGTCTGTCAGCTCTTTCATCTGCTGATGTTAATATTTCAACCAATTTGTATGTTATATACAGTCAGGTCCATATTTATTTGGACACATGCACAATTTTTTATTATTTTAGCTGCTGACCAAAACATATTCAAGTTACAGTTATATAATGAATATGGGCTTAAAGAGCACACTCAGAGCTTTAATTTGAGGGTATTCTCATCACAATTGGAGGAAAGGTTAAGGAATCACAGCTCTTTAATATGTACCTCCCCCCTTTTTCAAGGGACCATAAGTAATTGGACAATTGACTCAAAAGCTGTTCCATGGACAGGCGTGGGCTATACCTTCATTATTTCTACATCAATTAAGCAGGTAAATGTTCTGGAGTTAAGTGTGCCGTTTGCATTTGGAAGCTGTTGCTGTGAATCCACATCATGCGGTCAAAGCATCTCTCCATACAAGTGAAACAGACCATTGATTGGCTTCAAAATCAAAACAAATCCATCAGAGAGATAGCAGGAACATTAGGAGTGGCCAAATCAACATTACAGTTATATAATGAATATGGGCTTAAAGAGCACACTCAGAGCTTTAATTTGAGGGTATTCTCATCACAATTGGAGGAAAGGTTAAGGAATCACAGCTCTTTAATATGTACCTCCCCCCTTTTTCAAGGGACCATAAGTAATTGGACAATTGACTCAAAAGCTGTTCCATGGACAGGCGTGGGCTATACCTTCATTATTTCTACATCAATTAAGCAGGTAAATGTTCTGGAGTTAAGTGTGCCGTTTGCATTTGGAAGCTGTTGCTGTGAATCCACATCATGCGGTCAAAGCATCTCTCCATACAAGTGAAACAGACCATTGATTGGCTTCAAAATCAAAACAAATCCATCAGAGAGATAGCAGGAACATTAGGAGTGGCCAAATCAACAGATTGGTACATTCTGAGAAAAAAAGAAAGCACTGGTGAGCTCAGCAACATAAAAAGGCCTGTCCACGGAGGACAACAGAGGTGGATGATCTGAGAACCCTCTCCATGGTAAAGAAAAACCCTTTCACAACATCCAGCCAAGTGAAGAGGAGGTAGGCGTCCAACATCCAGCCACTCATCCATATGTACAACATCCAGCCACTCTCCAGGAGGTAGGCGTGTCACTGTCAAAGTCTACAATCAAGAGAAGACTTCACGAGAGCAAATACAGAGGATTCACCACAAGGTGCAAACAAGGCCAGATTAGACTTTGCCAAAAAAAAACATCTAAAGAAGCCAGACCACTTCTGGAAAAGCCTTCTTTGGACGGCTGAAATTAAGATCATCCTGTACTAGAATGACGGGAAGAAAAAAGTACGGAGAAGGCTTGGAACAGCTCATGATCCAAAGCATACAACACCATCTGTGAAACATGGTGGAGCAGTGTGATGGCATGAGCATGCAAGGCTTCCAGTGGCACTGGGTTACTGGTGTTTAGTGACGATGTGACAGAAGATAGAAACAGGGATATAATCTCTGCCCAGATTCAGCCAAATGCAGCAAAGTTGATTGGATGTTAAAGTCCTAATCCCAGCTGAACACCTCTGGTGTGACTTTAAATGCAGACCTTGAGCCAAAAACTCATCACCAAACACCAATGACTTGTACATACACTATATGGACAAAAGTATTGGGACACTCCCTTCTTTAGAACAGAAAAAGGCACTTCCAAAACTGTGGCAACAAAGATTCATGCATTTAAAAATTGTATTTCCCTCTCTGTTGCAACAGTTTTGGAAGTGTCTAAAATGACTGTACCCATATGTACAAGTCATTGGTGTTTGGCGATGAGTTTTTGCCTCAAGGTCTGCATTTAAAGTCGCACCAGAGGTGTTCAACTGGGATTAGGACTTGGATTTCTGCAGACCAGTCAAGTTCTTCCACACTGACTGAATCAATCATTTCTTTTTGAACCTTGCCTTACACACAGAGGCATTGTCATGTTAGAATAGAAAAGGGTCCCGTGCAAACTGTTGCTATAAAATTAGAAGCACACAATTCCCTAGAATATCATTATATGCTTAAACATTAAATGTCACCTATTATGCAAAATT